CATCCGACATACATCCTCTCCTCTGTGACTCTCACGGTGCTGACACACGCCCGGCCCCAAGGCACCCATCCGCAGGCTCTCCCTGCCCCACCCTCTGGGCCTTGATGTCTATTGTAGGACCTGCCCCAGGCCTGGGCCTTCAGAGAAGCAGCTACAGTCCTGAGTGGAGCTTTCCGTCCACCGGAAGGAGGGCTCGCTCAAGCACCGTCCTCATGCGTGAAGTCCCGGCTCCCAGGGAAAGTGGCGGAAGCTGGTGTTGGAACGCTGCATTATTGTGCCAGAGCGATAAATGCAGAGGAAGAAGCACTCCCGTCCCATAACAATTTCCACCACCTTCACCACCACCCCATCACCATTGTCCCTACACCCATCGCCTCCACCATCACCACAACCAACCCCTCCACCATCACCACAGCCCTCAACTCCACTGTCATCATCACTACAATTACCCCCTCCGCTAGATCCACCACCTCTACCAGCGGCAGCCATCATCATCTCCGATGGCTCACCCTTGCTCTTCTAACACAAGCAGGAAGAGCAGCGTTTTCAGGGTACCAGTGTTACCCTCATCAAAATTATTTTTCACTCCCACACACCTCTCCCCTCTCCCTACGAGAAGTTCCGTAAGATGGGAAGGAAGGCACTTGTCCAGGAGTCAGGAAACCTGGGGGAGAGTTTCAGGGCCCAAGGAACAATATTGGGTGGATCCTAGTCCCTAGAGGGTCCCACAGAAACACCCTTAATAACCTTGGGGGGGGGGGGGCTCGCTGGGTTGCCTGGGAACTGAAGGGTCCCGGGTTCGATTCCAGTCAAGGGGACATGCCTGGGTTTGCAGCCTCGATCCCCAGTAGGGTGTGTGCAGGAGGCAGCCGATTAATGATTCTCTTTCATCGTTGATGTTTCTATCTCTCTCCCTCTCCCTTCCTCTCTGAAATAAATAAAAAAAATATATTTTAAAAAAAATAACCTGGGGAGGAGGGAACATTTTCACATTCCTGTCTTCCTCAGACTCTCCTGGGCTGAGATCAAGAGACTTATGACCTTGGATTAGTTAATTGTCAAACCAAATCTCAGTTTCTTCACCCGTAAATGGAAATGATGACTCCCGCCCATCTTGTCTCTGACAGCTGTTAAGAAGCTCACAAGATGTGAGACTCAGCTCACCCTCTGTCCCATCCCACCCCATCCCACCTTCTTCCAGGCCTAGAGGTGTCGAAGCCCTCCGGCCAGGCTGAAGGACCCTGAGCAAAAGTCCAGAGTCCCAGGGGCTCGTAGGCCAGTCGACTTGAGAAATCGAAGCTTAGGAATGAGGCCTTAAGCAGCAAAGGGTGGGAGAATATTCTCAACCCATTCCTACCACCAACTCACTCCAGACAGTGGTCAAGTCCCTCACACATCTCCTATGTGGTTGGTCACAGGTTCCTCCAACTTGTAGGAATCAAGGGGACAGAAGGGAATATAGTCACTGAGTCTCTCCTTATGCAGCAGCCAGTTCATTGAACCAGTCCTTTGAGATATAAAATGTTCTTTCCAATTTGAAACTTGAAGGAAACGGGGCTTGGAGAGGTTTGGTGATGGCTCCTTGGTGGGAGACCAGAGCCGGGTCTCCTGACGGCAAAGCACCGACTGTGGTCTCCGTCCCTCCATCTCGCTTATCACTCGTCCAGGGAAACGGAGGACACACAGGAAGAGGATGGGCGAAGGGGAGAGGGGAAGGGAGGGCTCAACTTCACCCTAAAAGTCTAGAATCACCACCAGCTGGAATCCCAAAATAGCCCCTGATTTACATAACACTTTGCTGGGAAGGAACGGGGAGTAAAGATGGGCCTAGTGCCGAACCGAGACCCCCCAAGAGATCACCGACCATGCTGCTCTCAGAGGACAGCGTCCAAGACCCCAAATTCCCCTAAAGACCATCCTACCTTGAAATATGCACAGCGTCACCGTGTCCCTCCCCCATCCCAGACACCTCTGACCTGCGCCACTTCCCTGCCATTAAGTACAAATTGAAAGGAGACTTTTTTGTCAGTCATGTTGGCAAAATGTTTCAAAATTGGTAATAATTTATGTCATGTTGACGGGCCTGTGGGACACGGGTCCTCGCGTACACTACCGGTGGGGGTGGTGTAAATTGGTACCACCTTTTAGGAGGGTTCTCCGGCCATGCCTTGTGCCCATCAGGATGCAAAATGTACTCCCGATCACGGGGTCCCCTCCTCCCACCAACCTCAGACCCACTTCGTAGAAATCAAACGGCCATTAGCGAACAGCCAAACAGAAAGCAAAGCTGGTTTCACCTGCCCTAAGAGAAATAAAGTCAGTCGGCCCAAATGAAAGCGGCCTTAAAGCTAAAAATACTTTTGAAAGATTTAGAAAGTTCTTGGAATTGGGAATGGAGAGAAGGGAAAAACCCCAATAGCTGTGAGGCCAGCGATGGAGGAGTGTGTGGGCCCACGGTGGCTTTATCCACCCCTAACTTCACACAGATGTACACAAATGCAACCGAGCTGCTTAACGACAGACCTTCCCAAAGTTATCTTAATTATAATAATCAACTAATCACACCCAGAAACGTGGGGATTGCCAGCAATTAATGAACACCCACACGCCCACACACACAGACACCAGCCTCTCTCTTCCTCTACTGAGAATGTCGACCGTCAACTATTAATGCTCGCCAACACATTCACAGCGCAAATACAGTGCCGCACGGAAACACAACACAGGTCTGAGGTGGGCACCCTCAGGCACCCCACGTCCCCACAAACACACAGACTTGAACACAAAGGAGATCTCAGTTTCACCCAGGTAGTCAATCAGTTGCTCCTCCATTTCCCCCTCCCCGCTCCACACCTGAGCTGCCTGGATCTGTCTCTGGGCCCGGAGTCACCGCCTGCTCCCTGAAGGAGACTATGACTGTGTTGTGGTCCACACTGAGGGGTGGGACTAGGGTGGGAGGGAGAGGAAGGATCTGGGAGCAAGTGAGTCAGCTCCACGCAAAAGGCTGTGGGGCTGTGGGTGGGCCTGGGCTGGAAGGATTTTTCAAAAAGGAAGAAGGCCGTGGGTGATGTGGCGGTGACTGGCAGGTCACTGGAACCCACAGAGGGACAGGCCAGCCTGCCAAAGCAGAAGGACAGAAAGGGAGCTGTCCTCTGAGCCCAACGCTTACTTCTCAGAAGCCAGTGGCAGAAGAAAATGGCTGCCAACTCCCCAGATCCCTGGCGCCCAAGCTCAGATACGGGGTGATTCAGGGCTGGGGGGACTGAATTGGGGATGGTGTGTCCTCTGCCCCTTCCACCCACCATGGGGACCCTGAGGCCTGATCCAAGGGGAGGAATCAAGGGATATGGGGAGGGACCACTGTGCTCTTCCCAACGAGAGCCCGCAGTGTCTGAAGGAGTCCCTCGGGGTGGGTCACAAGTGTGATGATTGGCGCTGCCGGTGTGGCTCAGTGGTTGAGTGCCAACCTATGAACCCAGAGGTCACTATTCCTGTCAGGGCACATGCCCAGGTTGCGGGCTCAATCCTCTGTGGGGGGCGTGCAGGAGGCAGCCATTCAATGATTCTCTCTCATCATTGATGGTTCTCTCTCTCCCTTCCTCTTTGACATTATATATTATATATGTGTATATATATAAATATACATATTTTAAAAAGTGTGAGGATTGTAAAACACACACACACACACACACACACACACACACACGAGCGCGCACGCTTATGAAACAATCAGGGAAATTTGATGATATTTAGGCATTTCTTTACAGGTTTGCAAATGGTATTGTATTTTTTAAGTCATTTTTTAGAGGTACATAAAGGAATATTGAAGGATGAAATATTATTGTGTCTAGGATTTATTAATTCTTTGCACTATCACTAATACAGGTGCAGACCTGAGAGGCAGAAGTGAAGTGAGTGAAGATAAAGAAGAAACAAGACTGGATTCGCGCTGATAACTGTAGAAGCTGGGTATGGATGGATGGAGGGAGGCCCGTTACATTTTTCTCTTCACTTTTGTATAAACAAATTGACCTTTGACAACACAGGGGTTAGGGGCCCCAAACCCTGTGCAATTGAAAAGTCACTTATGACTTTTGACTCCTCCAAAACTTAACTACTAATAGCCTACTGTTGACTAGTAACTGAAGCCTAACAGATAACAGAAACAGTCAATTCACACATATTTTATCTGTTATATGTATATACTGTATCCTTATAGTAAAGCTAGAGAAAAGAAAATGTAACTAAGAAAATCAAAAGGATGGGTAAAGGCATTTATAGTATTGATTTTTTTAAAAGGGTGTATACGTTAAGACGCTCAGTTCAAACTCATATTGTTTGAGGGTCAACTGTACTGAAAAAATTTTTTTTTGTTAATCCTTACACGAGGGTATTTTCCCCATCCTTTGATTTTTAGAGAGTGTGAGGGAGGGAGAGAAGGAAGGAAAGAGAGAGAGAGAAACATCGATGTGAGAGAGACACATTGACTAGTTGCCCCCCGCACGAGCCCTGACTGGGGCCCGGGATTGAGCCTGCAACCCAGGTACGTGCCCTTGACCAGGAATCAAACCCACAACCCTTTGGTTCGCGGGCTGACGCTTTAACCACTGAGCACACCAGCCAGGGCTATTGGAATTTTTCATAATTAAAAAAGTAAGCGTATGGATCTAAGAAGGAGACAACAAAACTTGTCAAGAGAGAATGATTCAGCAGGAACATAAAGGAAAGGAGGAGGCTGTAGGGGCAGAGATGGGGACCCACACTCAGAGATGCATCCCCTGAAATACCTCCCTAAACAGCCTGTGGGCAGACCACAGCCGGCCCAGCGCCCAGCAGGTCCCTGAAGTTCTGGCTGACGCTCCCTCCACCTCATCTCTCACGCCTGACAGCAGGCTGTGCGGAGACCCAGGTCCCAGGGAAGGAAGGCTTCCTGACCACACACAGGGTGGAGGCCCCAGTTCGGTCTCTGTGTGACTGAACGTAAACCGTTTACTGCCCCTGTGCCTCGGTGCCCTCAGCTGTATAATGGGGACACCGCTTGACCTACCTAGCGCACAGAGAAATGATGGAAGTGAAAGCGCTCTGAATGCATCGAGGCCTTCGGACAGGGTGGGTGCTGTTGTGACTCCTGGCGCTGGGAGGAACCCAGGCAGGTACCAACTGGGTTCTGATGCCAATTCTGCCAGTGACAAATGAGCTGTGTAACCTCAGAAGAGTCTCTCACTGTCTCTGGGCCCATTTCCTTGACTGCAGGGAGGGGACTGAACAAGATCTTTGGGGTCCCCTCAATTCAAACACCATGGGACTAGAAGCCCGGGCTTGGGGGAGCAGAGAGGAACTACCAGAAGGCTTAGGAGATGAAGGTCGTGCCACTGAAGACAATGCCAACATTCCTGGGTCCATCCCCGGGAAAGAGGAACAGCTCAGCCACTTGAGCCAACTGTGGTTGGTGGCCATGTCCCTCAATCCCAGGCCACCCCGCAGAAACCAGGAGGGAAGAATGTTCCAGCAATATCCAGATTGAATGCCAACCCCCAGGCCCTGTATGGCCTCTCCCCTCGTCCCCCCAAGCCCCACACTTGGTATCAACACTTCCCAGGCCCACTGATGACACAGTCCCTCCACCAACAGGTCCTTGCTGGTCCCCTGCCCGCCCCGGCCTCTGGGGAAGGTGGGCGCACACTCCCACATGTCAGACACAGGCAGGGCCGCTCAGAGTCTTGCTTACTAAACAAATACCACACAAGTGGAGTTTCTCTTTCTTCCCCCACGCAAGAGGCTCTCCCCGGAAGCCACACACCCGGCCCCAAGCCCTACTCCACACGTACGGAGCTCAGAGGGCCCTAAGCCATGGGTTCCTCGGGCTGGACCCGTGAATATGCGGACAGGCTCTCAGGGGACAGACCTCAAAGGGTACAGAATACGGGACTGACCCATGGGTTAGCTTCGCCTGCTTGTGCCCATGGGCATTTGTGCCCTCCGGTAAAGGCCTGTGTTTGGAAGGGATCTGTGCCCCACACACTCTTTACCAACCCCCCAACACACACACACACACACACACACACACACACCCCAGACATAGGAACTCAAAGTACTACCGGAAAGGAAACTTGGCCACTGCGTCTCCATGTCACCAAATCCTAGTCTCACCGCCCCTCCCAAAGCTGACCTGCGAACAACAGCGGCAGCAGGGCCGGCGGAGGTGGGCACCCGGGACCCCCCCCCCCCATGAGCACCGGGTCAGCACCGGTTCCATTGCAAGACTCTGCCCTCCCCTTCCATTTCCCCACACGCAGGGCTAAGAGGTGTCCTGCCCAGTCAGACCCTCAGCACTGCACTCCCTCTGCCTACTGCGACCCCAACTCAGGCAGAAAGCGGGGTGCACCCCAGTTCTGGGCAAGCCCCCAAACCAAGGCAACGCTCATTGCACCCACTCTCCTCCATCCCCCTTTTGAGTTCTGCCTGTTGGTGTAATCTCCCAACAACACCCAGAACTTTTCATTCCCATCTCCCTCCTCTAAGCCCTGAACCAAAACAGTGAGGGAGACACTAGCAACGTGGAGACAGACAGAGAGAGAGAGAGAGAGAGAGAGAGAGATTAAAACACGCGCC